TACACGCAGCATTCCACGCAGGGCATACACGCAGCATTCCACGCAGGGCATACACGCAGCATTCCACGCAGGGCATACACGCAGCATTCCACGCAGGGCATACACGCAGCATTCCACGCAGGGCATACACGCAGCATTCCACGCAGGGCATACACGCAGCATTCCACGCAGGGCATACACGCAGCATTCCACGCAGGGCATACACGCAGCATTCCACGCAGGGCATACACGCAGCATTCCACGCAGGGCATACACGCAGCATTCCACGCAGGGCATACACGCAGCATTCCACGCAGGGCATACACGCAGCATTCCACGCAGGGCATACACGCAGCATTCCACGCAGGGCATACACGCAGCATTCCACGCAGGGCATACACGCAGCATTCCACGCAGGGCATACACGCAGCATTCCACGCAGGGCATACACGCAGCATTCCACGCAGGGCATACACGCAGCATTCCACGCAGGGCATACACGCAGCATTCCACGCAGGGCATACACGCAGCATTCCACGCAGGGCATACACGCAGCATTCCACGCAGGGCATACACGCAGCATTCCACGCAGGGCATACACGCAGCATTCCACGCAGGGCATACACGCAGCATTCCACGCAGGGCATACACGCAGCATTCCACGCAGGGCATACACGCAGCATTCCACGCAGGGCATACACGCAGCATTCCACGCAGGGCATACACGCAGCATTCCACGCAGGGCATACACGCAGCATTCCACGCAGGGCATACACGCAGCATTCCACGCAGGGCATACACGCAGCATTCCACGCAGGGCATACACGCAGCATTCCACGCAGGGCATACACGCAGCATTCCACGCAGGGCATACACGCAGCATTCCACGCAGGGCATACACGCAGCATTCCACGCAGGGCATACACGCAGCATTCCACGCAGGGCATACACGCAGCATTCCACGCAGGGCATACACGCAGCATTCCACGCAGGGCATACACGCAGCATTCCACGCAGGGCATACACGCAGCATTCCACGCAGGGCATACACGCAGCATTCCACGCAGGGCATACACGCAGCATTCCACGCAGGGCATACACGCAGCATTCCACGCAGGGCATACACGCAGAATTACACACATGGCATACACCCAGAATTACACGTAGGGCTTACACGCAGGGCATACTAGCAGCATTACACGCAGGGCATTAAGAGTGGAAATTTTGAGCCCTGTGAGTGGCAAACTGTAGTTTTGCTTTAATGCTTTTTTTGGACAGCAAAAGCTTTTCTGGGACACCTCCCATGCAGGTAATAGTGCTGTCTGATGCATACACTTTGAGGCTAACCGTTGCAAGATTTACCTGCAGTTCCCGCACTAATTGTTTAGGGCTTTTTGGGAACTTCTTTTCATCAAGCTCTTGGGCTGAATTTTCTGGGCTGGCCTAGACAAATTAGCAGTTGTTGGGGATTATTTTCTTTTCAGTAGAATGTTTGAACAAAATTGGTTATGGTGCACAGATCCTGAATAACTAGGTGCCAACCCCTGGTTAGGTAACAATAACAAAGAAAGAAAGTTGGGGGGTTTTAGGCACCTAAATGACAAGTCCAATAAACTCTAATAAATTATATTTTTCATATATATATTTTCGTTTAGAGTCCATACAAAAAGTTAAAAGCATCAGTTAATGCATATAGAATGTAAAAAAAGGGGACACACGACTTAGAGAACCTCCTAACACCCCCTAAGTTCCAGATTAGAGGTAAAATTGCATGATCAAAAATCTAAAGACATGATTTGTGGATAATAATACAATATTTAACCAAATACATTTCATAAGAATAAAGAATCCATTTCATGGTAATAAAAACCTCTAGTGGAACAAAATTGGTAGGTGGTAGTGCAGTACTTGCAATGCTCAATGGTAATGCAGTACTTGCAATGCTCTCTACGCGCTTCGCGCCACTGGGCGCTTCATCAGGAGAAGGAGTTGGTCTAAAAATCATACAAAGGAAAAGTATAAATACTCAAACATATTAAAAAATAGAATATCAACACAGAGAAGTGCCAATTAATCTTACACCCTCAGTGTGAAATCAACAGGCCGAGCGAACCAGTGGGGCATGTGTTCCCAGGGTGGAGGAGGATGGAATAAGAAGGTCAGGGGCTGTTCCTATGAAGTGCTGTTGATATAATAATGGAAAGGCGTACACTCATGTCCAAGGTATATCCTTCTGAGGTAAATCATACACATGTATAAAAATGTATTTTATATATGTGTGTGATTTATTCCATTCCAGGCACTGGGTCTTATAGAGCTTTGGCTAAAAAGACCTTTCAGTTAAGTTCTGTTTGTAAAACTGGAAACAACCAGTGGAGTGTTTTAAAGGGTTAAAAAAAATGATGTCCCAGTCAGTAAAATGTATTTATCAGCAGCTGAAGTCATTCATTCCTCATTCATAAATTCCTTTGATTTCTCTCCTTTCTCTGTAAGAGGAAGGGGAGAGGTCAACCATGTAAACACCAGCATGTGATTGTTCATCACAGCAGTCACAACGTACCCAGCCACTCAGATCGGCTCCGTATACTGCGTCATTGTATAGAGCCATCTAATGTGAGCTGATTTGCCGCCCATGGGTCTTTTTTCCTATGACCGTTATAAATTGCTGTGGAGAAACGCAAGTCCACCAATCCTCTGTTCATAAATGTACGATGGTAAAGGGGTGTACTGCAAGGGTTACGTGCTTGTTTTTGGCTTGGGACTATAAAAAAGAGATTTTATCTGAACCTTGCAATACTCTATTGATGCCAAGGAATATTCCACGGCTGGATTAGAAAAGACAGGCTCAAGAGAACAGTCAAGCTGCCATGGTTTGGGTAAGTACCGTATATATTTCCTTTTTCCTAGCCTAGATGAAAATGATGGTTTGTATATGCATGTTAGCTCCTTTGTGATTAGTATTAAAGTTAGGTGTTTAAAAAGAGTTGCATTAAAAAAAAAAAAAATGTAAAAAAACTTTTTTTTTTACCCATGCCCTCCACCCCCATGTACATGCATATACAGATGCAAACACACCCGGTCCAGTGCGCCTACACAAAAAAACAATTGTGCCACACATTATGTATCACCACGAATGTGCAAGTGAGTTTTTTAGCACCATCACTTACTGTGAACTCTAAATTTAGCGGTAAAGGCTTTTAAAGTGTCGCCTATGGGCAATTTTTAGGTATCATCGATATGTGCCATTTCACTGACACGCACAATTTTAAAGAGGAATTAGACTTTTTTTTTTTGCATATATCTACTGCTAGTTAGCAGTGAATATATGCCCCAACAGTTAAAAAAAATAAACCTGGCAAATACCAACAAACTTACCTGTGACAGCAGTGCTTGCTCACGCTGTAGAAGTCCCGACTTCCACACACTGTGAAGGAGGAACTGTAGGTGGGTGCATGCGCAGTACCGATCGTCGGTGGATAGCATCGATAACACTGACTAGACGCAGCCGGGAGGTTGCACGCATGACAGACTCCATGGGACCCGAGGAGTCTGTAGTGGATCAGAGACTGGCACCAGCGCTGGAAATACTTTGAAAAACGAGTGGAAGGAAGAAGCTGTTTGGATCAAGAGGCATCACACAAGGTAAGTCCTTAAAGCAGTATGGGGGGTGGGGGAGTTCTAGATTTAATGTCACTTTAAAGCTTGACATGCTTGCTATCTATTTACCTGACACAACCCAAAAACATTTTTTTATACCAAAAATGTTTCCTAAAAGTGTATTTAATGTTTGTGTGAATATTTTGTGACATTAAAGTGACATTAAACCCTCAGATTTTTTAACATAAACCAATACTGTAATGTGTGCCTTACTGTAATCCATGGTAGTTTCCCTTCTCTTTGCTGCTCTTATTTTTAAATCCTTATCTCTTCTCATGCTGGGGGAGAACTTCCCTTTGCAGCTGGGTGCCTCTTCCTGTAGTGCTGGCTCAGGTTGTGAACCTGCACAGAGACACCATGTATCCATTCCAGAGACAAGGCAGTCTGCTGCAAAACAGAAGTTCTGCCCAGCATGAGAAGAGATACAGATTTAAAAGGAAGAGCAGCAAAGAGAAGGGAAACAACCATGCATTATAGTAAGGCACACATTACAGTATTGTTTTATGTTAAAAAATCTGAGGGTTTAATGTCACTTTAAATATTGCAATTAACAATTCATATTAATATAGTTATATAATATAATTGTTTTGGGGGTTGTATACAGTTTTGTAACCAAAAATGTTGATTTTAACGTGTGTGTAAAAATGAAAAAATGATTCCGGGAAGCAAAGTGGTTAAACTCAGATTTCATTACTAGAGACATAAGAAACTGGTTGGTGGTTTAACTTTGGGGCAATATTGGAAAACAGAAACACATTTGGTTGGAGTAACTTGTTAAATGTATACTGAGCTTTAGAGAAAAAAAACCAAAAGATATATTCTAGGGATTGCGAGTACTAAAAAAAAGTATCGGTACTCGTACTCAGACCCAAAAAAGTGGTATCGGTGCATCCCTAGTATATTCTAACATAAGAATCTCGGAAGTATACATACTTGGGAATACATTTTTCTCTGTCCAGGTTTGTCCCAATCCTGTATGCACTGTTTAACTTGGAGCTCAGGCATAACCCTGTGCCAACCCATAGTCCAGTTGATGTGTCATAAAGTGGCTGTTGGGCACTAGATAGGGTTGTTATCTAGTGCTCCAAATCCAGGCTAAAGTCGAGGATTACATTAAAGTATAGTAAGTGGTTTTGAGGCCAGGACCTTCCAGGCATATTGTGGGTACCTGCTGTAAGGGAATTCTACTAGGATTTTAACATAATAGGTTTTCTTGTAATATATTTTCCACAGGGTTTTAAGAAAAATGTGTTTTCAAATCATTTGTCTAGTTTGTAAATAGACTTGTGACAATTGCAGAATGACTTTGTAGATCAAAGTGACTCATCATATTTATACATCATTGTTATGTCTTACTTTTATAGAGTAATGGCCTTTAATGCTCACAAGCCTGACAAAAAGAAGAAAAAGCTTTACAAAGATTCTTTGTCCCTTGCTGCCATGCTTCGGAAATTTCAGAGGGAGAAAGATGCAATGCGGAAAAATGAACCGAAACAACTCCAACAGTCTCTTACTGTAGGCAATCCTCCACCTAAACCCAACCATGCTCCTGTTGCCAATGATTTATCTGACCTGACACTTGGTAGTGACCCTGTTCTTGCTATCTTTGGTGGTGGCAGTGAACGAGAACTTTTACAAGAAGCAGAAAGTGCACTTGAAATGCTTGGTGACATTGATTTTGATAAACTTTTGGACTCTGAATCTAATGACAGTCCCACAGCTTCTGATCTTGGAGAGAATGGTAATGTTGGGCAATCAGCAAATCAATCTCATGTACAAATACCCAAGCAAGTACCTCCTCTTCCTGAAGGGTTATCAACACCGTTAGAAAAACGTATTGACGATCTGCGAATGGTATGTAAATCAATAATTCAATCTATCGTGTCTTTGACTCTGTCCATTTGTTAATTACTTTGTTTTCCACACAGGCAGCAAAAATGTTTGATGAAGAAGGTAGAAAAAAGTTTTTCACTCAAGAGATGAACAACATATTATTAGAGTATGTATACTATATTGCTGGTATTATAGTTATTTTGGGTAAAACAAATATTACAAAAGAAATGTCTTATTGAATTTTTGATTTTTTTTCCCCCCTCATCTGAGTGTAATAATAGTAACAAAAGTACAAAAGCGTACACAACAATCTCGTATAAAACAATGTATAAAGAAGTAGTACAAAGTCGTACATGACAATCTGACAGGACGATAACTGCATAAACGTAAGTTCTACACATGACACATTCGGTTAACTTATGTTTGGATTAGTTTAGGCACCTTAGGGAGACGTGCTGGCGAGTTTGCAGGTAAACCGAACAGATGTAGTAGAAATAAACCCCAGCGCGGAGTTGGTGGTGGGGACATCCCACAAGTGAGCCCAAAGGAAACCATACATTGAGTGCCAGTAGCTTTGTGTCCTGAGATTTGCTATGATGAGGTGCATCGGAGGTGGAGGAGAGGAGACAGGAAAATGAGATGGAAAGAAAGGCAAGGCCGAGAGGAGAAAATAGAAAAAGGGAAGAGAGGAAGAGGGGGGAAGAAGGGTCAGGTGGTGTGTAGGGGAAGAGGCAATAGTCGATGATTCATTACCAAAAATTCCATCATAGAGTGAGAAGATGTCGGTGGGTTTCAGAAGGTGTGTGTTTCTCTGTCCAGGGTGACCTTATTTTTTCAAACTTATGCATGGTATGCTCAAGTTGTGCCGGTCTCTTCTCATGCGACATTATCCAATTGACCGTCAAGGGCAAATTTGGGATCTTAATCAACTGATGAGTGCAAAAGAGAAGAAATTAGATAAAAAAACACGGTCCCAAAAGTTAGAGGCAGTCAGGCATTGCCACCATATGTGGAAGAAGGTGCCCAATCCTGTGCATCCCCGTAAACAGAGCGATGAGGATTGCGGGTTACATTTTGCAACCCTCGTGGGTACCATGTACCAGCGTAGCATTACTTTATAATTGATCTCCAACATACTAGAGCACCACGAGCTGGACTTCGTAGTCAAACAAGACTTCTGCCACATGACGTCTTCCAGAGGGGACCCTAGATCCTGATCCCATTGAGAGACGTAAGAGGGGGCGGGCGGATTAGACTGTAATAATAATGAGGAGTTGATAGGGGAGATGGTACCGGGGGCGTGGGGATTGTCACGACAGATCTTTTCAAACAAGCTCAGGCTTCCGAGGGTGGGGGGGCCGTCGCTGTGTTTGGTGAAGGATGAAGTTTTTGATTTGGAGATGGCGGGAAATCTCCTTGGTCAAGAGAGCATAGTGGTCTCGTAGGTATGGAAAAGGCTTCACTCCCAATGTCGTTTGGAGTCTCCAGAGATGAGTGAGACCATTGTCTGCCCAGGCCGCAAAGCACGAAGGGTTAGAGTAAGCTGGGGAGAAGTTAGGGTTGCGAAGGAAGGAGAGCATTGGTAAGTGAGGTGACATCAGTCTAGCGGGTCGGTTAAGAGCATCCCAGAGTCTGAGGGAGAAGGATGTAATGGGGTTAGTCAGAGAAGGTCTCTGTTTGGGGGGGGGAGGGGGGCCAGAGAAGATTGGCAATGGAGGTAGAAGGCAGAGATGATTTCTCTAAGGTCACCCACCCAGGGATTTCAGTCATAGCGTGGTACTTAGTCAATTGCCCAATTTGTGCTGCCTGAAAGAATTTCACGAAGTCACAAAGAAAGGACATTTTTATAGCCACTATCCTAACAAGCCAGGAGAGATGATAGCTGGACCATATTTTGAGGAGTCCTGTTAATTTCGATATCGCCGGGTAGGTGGCTTTATATTATGTATGGTAGGAGGGGGTAAAATTAATGCCCAGATAGTAGAGTGTGTTCGGAGACCATCGATAGGGGAAGTCTTCCTTCAGGGATGTCACCATTGAGGTTGGCAAGGATATATTAAGTGCTGTAGATTTAGATTCGCTGACACATAGTCCCAATATGGAGGCAAAGTGTTTGAGGATTTGCGTAAGATTACTGAAGGAGATTTTAGGGTGAGTAAGGCACCGTCAACAAAGACATATTTTATGGGTGACACCAGCATAAGAAATACCAGAGACATCCGGAGAGGAGCGGATTTTACATGCAAGGGGTTCCAAGACTAAGGCAAAAAGAAGCGGGGACAAGGGGCATCCTTGTTATGTGCCCTGCCAAATATTAAACATCGGAGAACGATAGCCAGAGTACTTAACGTGAGCTGAGGGCTTGCTATATAGAGAGGTGATCCAGGTAAGAAAGTGTTGGCCGAACCCGCCAACGTTGAGGGACGTCGGAAAGGTAAGGCACCATGTCAAAAGCAATTAATATCCAGCGACAGCAGCACAGTAGGGATATGATTCGTGTTGGCAATGTGCGTAAGTATGGTAAGTGACATTCTCGACCAAAAGGCACACCGGATCTGAGGTAGTTGAAAGAGGCAGTCTTGGGAAGCAAATTAATGGCATGTAAAACCTCTTGTTCCGCAATGGGCTCTTCTAATGCTGCTGCTTGAGACGCTAAGAGAGGTGGGAGGTGGAGTCCCTCAAAGAATCGGTCCACCTCCTCCATGGGAGATTGATCTGGGGCGGAGTATAAGGAGGAAAGGTGTTGGTGGAAGAGGTCATACATGGTAATAGGGTTTCAGGTGAGGGAACCCGAGGTGGTACGTAGCTTGAAGGGTTTAAATGAAGGGTCTAGGGAATGCAACCTATTCACCAACAGGGTGTCTGCTTAGTTACCCTTAAGGTAATATTTATGGGCTGTGCGGTGGAGCTGCTTGGCTGCAAGGTCAGTCAGTAATAAGTTGAGTGCGTGTCGTGCTGCCTCCAACTTGGTCTTGTTGGACGAAGAGGGGGTCTGAGCAAAGTCTTGTGCGCAAGAATAGTATTTCTGCTCTAGAGTCGTGAGGTGTCGGAGTCTCTCCTTAAGTTTAGAGGCCAGTTGAATGCGTTTTCCCTGAAGCACAGGTTTGTGGGCTTCCCATAATAGGAGTAGGGACGTGTTAGGTGTATCGTTAAGGGACACGCATTCCGTCAGATAAGAGGCGATGGTCTCTCTGGTCGTGGGGTCAGACAGGAGGGAGTCGTTCAAGGAGTGGAAGTGTTCTTAGGGGACAGATCAGAGAGGAGCAGGGAGACTCCAGAGTGGTCAGACCATGGGACTGGAAGGAGGCGTTAGTGCATAATGTAGGGCACCATACAGGGTGGAAGGAAAATATGGTCAATCCTGGCGAAGACGTCATGTGGATGGGAGTAGTGGGTGAAATCTTCCTTCTTAAGGTTCACCTCTCTCCAGCAGTCAACTAAGGAGTTGTAACACACCAGGTCTCCTCTAGGCCGTTTCTCGTATGGATCTCCGCTACAGATATGTAATGGAGGAGTTTTGTTTTTAGCTAGTAGTAGATTGGGGGAATGTGACCTGAATCACAGTGCTTCAAACAAGAATCCTCCCCTTACCATTACATTGCAACAAGTAAAGATAGTACAGTCTAATATGTAGCATACAATCTTAATTGCAGAATTAGAAGTAATTTTGAAAAGGAGTAAGGTATTTGCGATTTAGGAGTAAGTTGTGTAGCAGTCCTTCAGGGAGTATGAGGAAATGAGGCAATCAATTCCCATTCAATCTGGAAGCAGGGGAGGCAGTCACTATGGCAGATGCAGTTAATGCAGATAGAAGTTGCTCAGCAGTGCCACCCAGCGGAGTCAAGTATGAGGCCGAAAGTAGTAACACTACGTATGGAGAGAGTGAAGTCTGATGGCTTGTCTGGCTTGAATTGAGGGGAAAACCCCAATGGAGGATAGCTGTAATCTAGGAGGTGGTGTCGGCTGGCAGTGGTTGGAGATGTGGCTCCGGCCAGCCCGTGAGTAAAGGGAGATTCGTTGTGAGCCGAGGAGGGATCTTGCCTGGCGTCAACCCACTTGCACGAACGCCAGACAAGTGAGTGTCTCGGCTTAAGCCGACAAGGGAGGAGGAGCCACCTGAGATCGTGGACAATGACGTCTCTGGGGCTGTGGCGGAACTCTGTGATGCGCCCGGACTGATGGACGGGTACGTTTGTTACAGGAGTGAGGCGACAGGAGATTAGCGAAATGCTTTGGCAGAGTGCGCGTAGATAGGAGAGTCCTTGGATCTATCCCTGTGGGGGAGAAGGACAAGGTTAGAATCTCCACAAATGATGACTGAGCCCATGCTGCAAGCCTGTACCTTGGCTAAAAGGTCCCTGAAAAATCTATTTGGTCTGTGTTAGGGGCGTAATAGGAGACCAAGGTGACCTCAGTGTCATGTAGGAGTCCCGTGATAATTAAATATCTAACCAGGGGGTCACGGGTTTCCGTGTGGCAAACAAAATTGGTTGATCAACGTAACCCGATCAAGACTCCCTTACAGATATCATTAGCCATGTATACGTGTGGGTATTGAGGACTAAAATATTTAGGGCAAGATGTTTTGGAGAAGTGGGTCTCCTGTAGGCAGATAATGTCAGCATGAGAGGATCTAAAGAAGCGGAATGCCCATGTGCGCTCGTTGGGGGAAGTTAAATCCCTGTACATTTGAGGCTCACAATTTTTAAGGGCATTGTTGCAAGAGGGGTGAAGAACGCCAATTATGCCCACCATTAATTGGGAAAGGGTTTTGGGTGTAGAATGGCGCCAGTCCCCAGCACACCACCTGACGAGAGAAAAGGTAGGATAGCAGTACAGGATGAAGAGAAAGGAGGGGAGAGATAAAGAAGGTAGGCTATCGGAGTGTAGCAAGTACAAGAACAACAAGTAGCGGTATATACAGCAAGCGGAAAAAATCTGCATCAACGAAGGAACGTTGGGTAGAGGGATCCATGAGATCTCAATCTACCCAAGGTCTGGGGAGCACAGGGACTAGCTCCCCCGGACAAACCTATTTAATAGTATGCCAAGTCAGTACTGAGATGAACAACTAGAAACATACAAATCTATATATGAAATCAGTAATTTTCTTACAGAAAACAAAACCGTACAATAATATTGCAATAAGGAAACAGATGGTGTGTG